ATATATATATATATAGTGTATGGTTTTATACAGGGTGAAAACCTGATGGTTTTAGCAGAAGCAACTGTTGCTTTAGCAGAGATGTTAGAACTGAAGGCGGATTCCACGGGTCTGGTAGAGGGGACCGTAATTGAGTCTCGCAAAGACAAAGGGAAAGGGTAAGTAATCTGCTGCCTTTACAGAAGCAATTTGTAACAATGCAGAGATACTGTTTGGGTGGTTTGTACATCAATATTTATGTTTAACATTGAACTTGATGTTGTTAAATAAAACTGCAACAGTTTCTTTGCAGTGTTTGTAACTAAAGCATTGAAATATTACTCTACAGCAGGAAAGCCAGAAAAATAAGTTATAAACTGATAGCGTGAAATTCATCATGTCACTGAAAGAATCCTGTAAGCACAGGAAATATTTTAAAATGCTAGAACAGATTTATTTTTTTAAATGACATTAAGAAGTAAGGTAATAGTCATAATACATATACAGTTTTTGGTGAATTGTGTGTAATGACATTTTACTCTTTTAAAATATTTCATTCCTTTTGCAGATTCTCTGTAAACAAGATGTGTTCTGCCCTCTTTAAAAATGAATTGACTTCTAGAAATTTCTTGGGGTTTGGAGGGTTTTTTTGTGGGAATCACTTAATGCGTAATGTCAGTCTGTTGCTGACTTCACAAATGCCAAATTTTGTACCAATCTGCAGAAACGAAAAGAGTACAGTACAGGCTTGGGGCTTTTTGCAAGTCACTTTAAAATTTTATTAGCACTCTAATAAAATGTGTCACAGGAATACTCTGCCTGTGATTGATCACAAGTACGTTCTGTTTTGCATTTGCTTACCTATGCTAACCATGAAAACAGGGAGAAGAGTCATTTTAATTTGTCTGTTGTTTTTTCTCCTCTGCTCTTCACTAGTCCAGTTACCACAGCTATCATCCAAAGAGGAACTCTGAGAAAAGGCTGTGTTCTAGTTGCCGGGAAAACGTGGGCAAAAGTACGCTTCATGTTTGATGAGAACGGCAAAGCCGTAGATGCAGCCTCTCCAGGCATCCCAGTGGAAATCATGGGCTGGAAGGAGGTCCCTTCGGCAGGAGATGAAATCCTTGAAGTAGAATCTGAGGTACGGAAAGAACTGTTCAATAGAAAACCCATACTGCGGTAAGGTAGATGGGAAGGAGTTGAGTAAAAAAAATAAGTGATAGCTTTCATTCTAAATAACCCGGATAATCTGATGAAACATGAAGGCCAAGCATGGGTGTTAAGAGACCTGAGCTAGGTGTTCTGTAAGAAGAATGAGGATTTGCATATTGCCTCTTTCTTTTCCACTGCTCCCATGTCTCCCCTGCCAGACCATCCTCTCCTCATCTCCATGCATCCAGATTGACTTGCTTTACAATCACATTAAGAAAGCATGCTGCCTCTGGGATTAAAGATGAGCCACCTTTGGTTCATGCTTTTGCTCCTCATTGTCATCCTGCCTTCCTCCGTGTTTTGTTTGCAATGACTGCAGTCCTGAATGGCTTCTGCTGGCGTGATCTGGGATATATTCTAAGGTGTTCTCTTTCAAAAGGCACGGGAGACTTTTCTCTTTTATATGATCACACTATCACCTTACCTGGAGAACAGTCCAGTACTTAATGGTATTGGCGTCTTAATTTTAGAAGGAGAGAACTAGTTTCTGACAAAGGAATATGCGTAAAATAGAGCTTGACGTAGGTGTTGAGAGCTGGACAAATACCACATGAAAGAATGAACAGAAATTTATTCTCTTCTCCAATGCAGAGTTACTATAAAAATAGGCCTTGAGTCATGTTGTTGTAGCCCAGGGAGGAAGCTATTGTGCTTATTTGCTGCCATCCTTGCAGCAAAATCTACTGTTAAATGTGAAAGAAAATGAGCGAGCCTGTAGAGAAGATGCAAAAGGATGAAACTGGATTAATGTGGAGTTTTCCGATGCAATGCTTTGAAAGGTAATGTTGTTTCTTTCTGCCCAGCAAAGGGCGCATGAAGTTGTGGCTTGGAGAACCTATGTTGAACAACAGGAGAAGATGAAAAGGGATGTGGAAGTTATTGAAGCAAAGCAAAAGGAACACAGGATGGAATATGAGAAGAAGCAAAAGAAGCTAGCCCATCTCACCTGGAGACAGAGGAAGGCAGTGCTGTACAAGGCTAATAAGCATCTAATGTTTTCAAAGCCTAAAGAGAGAACAGAGATTGACAAAAATGTGCTATCAGTAATTGTTAAAGGTGCTGTCCTATTCTGTTTACTGCTCCGTTGTTTTTGTGTTTCTCAAATGCTCAGTCTGAAGCATAGCCCTAAACTATTAACAAAATTTCTGTTACCAGAAGTTGGATCAGTGTAAAACTGAACAGATTATTGAACTTTGTTTTCTGATGCCCCTCCCCTTACTGAACATCCAGTGGTCAGAAGGATGCGCTTCCAGCAGGGCCAGAACACCACAAAAATTTATGAGCCCAACTCCCTTTCTCAGGAACTCCTGAGTAAAACCCATACAAGTGCCTATATATATATATGTAAATTTAAAAAATAGTATTTATTCAGTTCATTTTTTGGAATTAATAGACTTGTTAGATGTGTTTTAATATACTACTGAAAATATAGTAAGGAATGATAGTTGTCAAAAGACTTTATGTTGTGTAGTGTGGAGTTGCCATTCCCTTAGTTCTACTTCAGTGTTTCTTTGATGTATACAAAGTGTACCAGTGTAGTTCCATTTATGCACGCAGGTGATGTGGATGGATCTGTTGAAGCTATTCTGAACATTCTGGACAGCTATGATGCTGACAGTGAATGTAAATTGGATATCATTCATTTTGGAATGGGAGATATCAGCGAAACTGATATAACTCTTGCTGAAGCATTTAATGGTGAGTTCTGTCATTGGGGAACTTTCTGTGAGGGCTTTTTTGAGCCGTTTGTTTTGATACAAGGTTAATAACAGTCGATGTGCAATAGGGGGAGAAGTAAATGGTCCCTCCTTAAAAGAGAAGCAGTAGTAAAATGTTGTTTCTTGTATTGCTGACTGCTTATTCTACCCTGTGCCACAAGTTCAGCATTACAGAATAGACAGCAGAGGCTTTCACTTACTGTTTGAAGAGTGATCTCTTGTAGTCATGATTTGCTGATTTGCTGTTTTGTTTATCAGGTGTTGTATTTGGATTCAGTGTGAAAGCCAATGAAAGTATTAAACAGCTGGCTGCTAAAAAGGGAGTAAAAATTAAGCTTCACAATATCATCTACAAACTTATTGAAGACTTGAAAGATGAGTTAAATAGCAGACTACCCCCATCTGTGGTGGAGAATACAATAGGTGAGTTTTCAGTGACTTAAATTTTTGCTTCACAATGTGGCCTTAAGTTTATTCTCCAATGAAGTGTCCCTGTTGTATCAAATACTTTATAGTCCTCTGTAGCTGCTTTTCTCTTTTGTTATAAAGCGTGGTAAGAGGAAAAGTATAGCTTGCTTTTACTTCTTGCCAATTTGTACTTCATACAACTCATGTACTTCATGCAACTTTCTATTTTAGGGGAAGCTTCTGTTCTCAACATCTTCTCTGTAACAGTAGGAAAAAACAAAGTTCCAGTAGCTGGATGCAGAGTACAGAAGGGGCTGCTAGACAAAAAAATGAAATTTAAGTTAATCCGTAACAGGGATGTTATTTGGAAAGGTAAGTGTAATTGCCACAAAACATGTATTCGCATTTAGCATAACACTGCTTGTTCCCCATGAAGTTAATGCAAAATGTATGCATCTGATTACGGGGCAATTCTTCAGGGTGGATTTGCTCCAACTAGAGAAAAGTTGCAAAACATCACTGTACTGTTATCCAGCCCTTGTAAGCACTAACTCTGGTAGGAAAGCAGTAGCATCACAGGATTTACCTCCTGAAAAGGACTTATGTCTGATGTTCATTAGCTGCAAGTGCTCACAATCCATGTTTTCTTGCTTTCATTTTGTAACTACAAGGTGAAGCATTAATTCTATCATCAGAAGGGCAAACTGAAACACTTCTACGCTCTGGTGTTAGTGGGCTCTCTTTCTTTGACACACTTTCTCTTTGCAGGATCTTTATCATCACTGAAGCATCATAAAGATGATGTCCAGGTAATAAAAATGGGTATGGATTGCGGATTGAGTTTGGACAAGTACATAGAATTCAATATTGGAGATGAAATTATCTGTTATGAAGAAAAAGAAGTTCAACAGACAACTTCCTGGGATCCAGGATTTTAAAATGCGTTTGAATACATTAACGCAAAAGGACATGTATTATTCCTAGCGGGCCTTCAACTCTTAACATTAAATGAACTTTCAGAGGTGCACATGAGCTTCTTTATATCTGATGTTTATAAAATAATGTTCTGCTTTTAAATCTTGTCAAGCAACCAGCTTACCTCATTGGAACAATGCGATACAACTGCAAGCACTTCAAGTGTGTAAAACTATCATGGTATAAGTATTTCTGATGCCTGTCTCTTGGTTCCTAAATAGCTGAGCCATCTCCTTTCTCCTCCTCAGTGCTGCTATACAATTTTTCAGTATGCAGTCTGCTTTTTGTTAGCAGAACTTCATTACCCTTTTCTCCAGCATTGACCCACTTGTAGATGGGACTTCAGACCTCTTGATCTCCTATTTTTCCAGATTAGAACTACTGTACTCTCTAGACCACTTCTACAGTTAGCTAGTGTTAGGTTTTCTTTTTCTCTGCCATTGCTACCCAGGATCTCCTTTGAAGGAGACTTAACCAGAGCCACTCTAAAAGAAGTTGCCGCTTCAGTTCTAGAGTCAAAGTATTTTGTCCTAGTTGGCAGTCAGCAGCCAAAGCTTCATAGATTCCTCCGCTCATAAGCGAGAACAAATACAGTGCCAAAGGAAGCAGAAATAAATCCTTAAACCGTACAGAACTTCAGATTTTTATTGTGTAGTACATTTACTTGTCTTCTGGTTTATTGAAGCAGTATGTCAGACAGCACTTGCCACAGTAGTGCCTGTCGAAGTGACTAGCCATGAAGACTCCTGCTCCACACTCCTCAGAGGGGCACTCCCGGCGCAGACGACTGATCTTGCCGTTCTCGTCCACCTGGGAAGGGCAAAGAGGCAACATCTCATATATACACTTGCCACCTTTTAGCACCGATTATACTTTTGAGTATTGTTCTTTGCTAAGGCAGTTTTTGTGATAGCTACTCTATCAAACTATGCTTTTATTAAGTTTCCCCTAGAGTTTGTTCTATGTACCTTGTAGTACTTCAGCACTGCAAGCTTAACCTTCTTTCTCTTATGCTTGTTCTTCTTGGGAGTAGTGTAAGACTTCTTCTTTCTTTTCTTGGCACCGCCACGAAGTCTCAGCACAAGGTGAAGAGTTGATTCCTATTTGTAAAATACATGAAATACTCAGAACGCTTTCTCAAAAGAGTACCATTTAAGCAGGCTTTTTCTTTTACCTGCAGAAAGTATGTAAGTAGCAGATTTTGAGCTACAGCCTACTAGGAAAGCTCTAAAAAATTTTTTTGCTATTAGGTCTGCAAATGAACAGGCTCCAGAAAACCGTGGGCCAAAAAGTTTCAATTACTATAAAATCTGCTTTGACTATATTCTTCAATTCTAACTGACAGAAGGGAAGCACTGGAAGTGGAAATCAGTAGAAACGTTTTCTTCTGACCCACAACTACAGCCCGGGCTGCGGCCCAGTCAGTTCTAGTCCTACTTCCCCAGTCAAAAGGGCTGCCCAGCCCGAAATTAATTGATTTGGTTGAATCCATTTGAAACAGTTCTTAGGCTCAGCGGCAAAGGCCAGTCTGCTCTGATAGCGCCAGCCAAGTTGGTGCTGCAATGCTCTGCTCAGCCTTTCCTACTTACTTTTTGAATATTGTAGTCAGACAGCGTGCGTCCATCTTCTAGCTGCTTACCAGCAAAAATCAGTCGCTGCTGATCAGGAGGAATGCCTAATGGTAACATAAATCAAGATTAAATGAGGAATGTGAACTATGCCATTCAATAATAAAATAATACATTGCTGCAGAGAACCACATCTGCATAAGATACACATCAATCCAACAGAGAAAGAACAAGAAGTGCATTTTAAACTCACCTTCCTTATCCTGGATCTTAGCTTTTACATTTTCTATAGTATCAGAAGGCTCAACCTATTATGACACGAAACAACGAGGTCAAAACGTAGGTTGCTTTTTAATTTGCCCAGAAACGCAGAAGAACCGCGAGGATGTTCAGACATTTCGGACCCCCACAGGGCAGCCAGCTCTGGGCAGGCCCGGCAAGCAGGGCCCGCGTCTCTCCGTGTACCAGAAGGCACCGGCCG